GATCAACATCCTGGGGGTTACCATTGACCAGAAACTCAACTAGATTCACCACATAAACACAGGTATGTGGCTACATGAACAGGGCAGAGGCTAGAAATAATGCAGTGAGTAACTCATCTCCTGACTCCCCAAAGCCTGTCCACCTTCTACAAAGCACAAGTCAGGAGGGTGATGGAATTCTTCTCACTTGCCTGGATGGGCAACAACATTAAAGAAGCTTGACACCATCCAGGACAAAGCAGCCCACAAGCATCCATTCCCTTTACCGATGACACTCAGTAGCATCAGTGTGTACTATCGAGAAGATCAACTGCAGAAATTCACTAAATGTCCTTAGACAGCACCTTCCAAACCTATGACCTTTTCCATCTGGGAGGCCAAGGGTAGCAGATACGTGGGAACACCATTGCCTGCAAGGTCCCCTCTAAGCCAGTCAACATCCTGACTTGGAAACATATCATTGTTCTGTCACTGTTATGGGGCAAAAACCCTGGAATTCCCTCCCTAAGAGTGGGTCAACCTACAGCACACAGATTGCCGTGGTTCAGGAAGGTATTCACCACCACCAACACTTTCTCAAGAGACAGCTAATAAATGCTAGCCAGCCAGCAACGCCCATGTCCCATCTCCCATGTCACACAAGCGAATAAAAAAATTCTCTTCTGTTTCTTTTAGCTCTAACTTTTATGACCTCGCATTTGCCTATATTGAAATCCATTTGCCACAGTTTTGCCCATTCACTTAATCTTGTTCTCAAAGAAATTCAATAGTGATGATTTGATAATGATTGGGAGTGGATATCTTGATTTATTACTCAGGATTGCTGAAGCTAAATCCAGGGCCTCTACCTCTTGCGTGGATTCAACATATTTTATTGACCTACCAGCTAAATAAGAAGGTTACTTACTCCAAAGTCTCTCTCAGCATTGTTATATAACAGTTATGAGAAAATGCATGAGAAACATGCAGATTGGAAACCCAAGAAGTCCCAAATTTGTTCAGACATCTCAGATGAATCTTCAACATCTGATTGTTTGGTTAATTTTAGCCCTAATGGTCCGATGGCTCTGTCTGAGATATCAGGTCTGGTTCCTAATGGACCAACTCTTTAATACTGGTCTCCAAGGAACCAACTTAGTTCTGTTTCAAGGTGTGAAGAATTCAGGAAGGCTTGAACTGTACAGGATGAAGGCAACATGGCAGCTCCCTGAAAGTCAGTTAATATTTCTTGTGACTGTACACACGCCTTTTATTGAGACATCGAAGTTCTTGCAGTTGACAAACCCTCTAAGGTGTGCTGGGGATGTGTTCATTGGCATGTGTGTGTAGTCAATGACTCTCTGTTGCTGTGTAAAGTCAGCCATATGGTAAAGCTGACCTTGTTGAATGCCTAAATTGTGAGCATTAAAACAGTAATGCACAACCAACAAATCATTAACAGGATCATCAGTACTTACAATGCTGCACAACATTTCTTGATGAAGTTGCACTTTACTGAACAATTGGCTTTGAAAATTGAAATTTCACTCTCTCACGTTATAATCTGGTGACTGTGCTCTGATTATTTCTAATTCATTTTTGAACAACAGAACTTCATCAATCTAGAAAAGTACCCTGCGCACTCTCAACTTGAAAAGAAAACACAAACATTAGCTTAGTATTATTTCTGGAGGGCATAACTTGTTCTTTAAAGTGTTGAACTGCATGACAAATTAAATTCCAAAGGAAGTAAAAATTGACTGTCAGACTGGACAATGTGTTTCAAAAAAGAGTTTGAGTTATTATTCTGTGAATATCATTGAAAAGAAGATCAGGCATAGTGAGACCACTGTGAACTGTTTTTACTCCAGTGAAACCTGGAAGAATGAATGTTCTGATATCTACACTAGTCCAGGAGGCTGGTTAAATGCTTGAGAAGTATTAGAGGATCAAAAATACAAAATTACATTTTTGTTATGCTGGACTTGAGTAAGAAAGAATCTGTACAAGGAAACAAATGCACATATATCACAGCAAGCAAAAAGAACATTTCCCTCTGTGGAATTCTTGATTTGGACTTTTGTAAACACACAGACATGTTTGTATGTCTTAAACATTGTTTGTTCTAATGGTCTTGTGAGAGGTAAATCATGCTTGACAAATTTACTTCAGATCCTTGAGGATGTAAAATGTAGGCTAGGTAATGGGAATCCATTACCTATAGATATAGTACATTCAGATTCCTATAAGATCTGCAATAAGGTGTCATATAAAAGGTTACCACGCAAACGTAGAGTTCATGGTGTTGGGGGTTATATATTAGCAGTCATAGGGTGTTGGCTAACCTAAAGGAAACTGAAAATTCATTAAATGAGTCTTTTCAAGTAGTCAAATAATAGAGTGCCACAGTGATCAGTACTGGGGCCTCAATGACTTGCAAGCTATATTAATGTCTTAGATGAAGGAACTGAGAGTATTGTAGCTAAATTTGCTGATGGCACAAAACAAAAGAGATACACAGCAAGTTGTGAGGATGATGCAAAGAGTGAGCAAAGGGATATAGGTAGGTTAAGTGAATGGGCACAAATGTGGCAGGTGGAGAATAATGTGGAAAGTGTAACGTAATCTACTTTGGTAGGGAGATTAGAAAAGCAAAAAAAAACTTTAAATGGAGACAGAGTGCAGAATTTTCCAGTGCAGAAGGATTAGGATGAATCTGAAGGAATCACAAAAAGTGAGCATAAGAGATAACAAGGTGTAGAGCTGGATGAATACAGCAAGCCAAGCAGCATCAGAGGAGCAGGAAGGCTGATGTTTCGGGCCTAGACCCTTCTTCAGAAATGGGGGAGGGGAAGGGAGTTCTGAAATAAATAGGGAGAGAGGGAGATTTCCTTCCCAAAATCCATAAACCTGACTGTCCTGGTCGACTCATTGTCTCTGCCTGCTCCTGCCCCACCGAACTTATCTCCACCTATCTCGACTCCATTTTCTCCCCCTCAGTCCAGGAACTCTCTACCTACGTCCATGACACCACCCACGCCCTCCACCTCCTCCAGAACTTCCAATTCCCTGGTCCCCAACACCTCATCTTTATCATGGACGTCCAGTCCCTATACACCTGCATTCCCCATAGAGATGGCCTAAAGGCCCTCCGCTCCCTCTCTCCCTATTTATTTCAGAACCCCCTGCCCCTCCCCCATTTCTGAAGAAAGGTCTAGGCCCAAAATGTCAGCCTTCCTGCTCCTCTGATGCTGCTTGGCCTGCTGTGTTCATCCAGCTCTACACCTTGTTGTCTCAGATTCTCCAGCATCTGCAGTTCCTACTATCTCTGAAACAAAAAGTGAGCATGCAGGTGCAGCAAGTAATCTGGAAGGTAAATTAAATGTTGGCCATTATTGGAATGGGGATGAAATATAAAAGTAGAGAAGTCTTGCTGTAACTGTACAGGGTACTAGTGAGACCACACCTGGAGGACGGTGCACACATTTGGTCTCCTTTTATAAAAAGGTGGAGGCTGTACAGAGAAGGTTTATTAGGTTGAATCTGGGATGTATGGATTGTCTTATGAAGTAAGGTTGGACTTGCTGGAGTTTAAGACAGTGAGGGACAATCATATTAAAATGTAGAAGATTAGATACTGAGAAAATGTTTCCACTTGTGTTGGAATCAGGAACTAAAGGTTTCAGATTTAAAATAAAGATGAGGAGGAATTTCTTGTTTCAGAGAGTTATTAGTTTTTAGAATTCTCTTCCACAGAGAATACCAGAAGTTGGGTTATTGAATATATCCATAGAAATAGACTAAATCGTGATCTACAAAAGAATCAATGGTTGTGCAGGGCAAACAGGAAAGTGAAATATGAACCACAACTAGCTCAGCCATGAGCTAACTAATTGGTGGAACAGATTTGAGGGGCTGAATGGCCTTCTTCTACTCCTAGTTCTTATGTAGGAATGTATGTCTGTGATGGGGGAATGTTATGAGCAGAATTGATATGCTTTCCTTGGCTGATTTAGAAAATCTTAAACTTGAAATAAAGGATCAGGTTTGAAATTTCTATTTAGCCCTTTCAAATTCTAACCTTTATAGGTTTTGATGTGCAATTAAAGTGCAGTTCGATGAATCATCTTGATTAATTGTTGGACATTTGGTACTAAATAATCTTTTAAGAGCGAAACTAGTCATGAATTGTGTTAATAGCCCTTCAAAGTGGGATATATTCATATTTTCTTCATATTGAGTAGAGCCAACAAGAAAGCTGCTTTGTATTGAACAACCTGATTTGCTGCCTAGAATACATTTTGATCATAATTATGCTCCTCGCTGTGCATAGACAATAATGCAACATGATCTCATATACCTATGTCACGAAATTTAGGCACAGAAGGAGAAGGACAAATACTAAGGCACATCAGAGAATGCTTTTAACAATTGATATAGAATGCATCAGCATCACATTCCAACTCATCAATCATAATGGTCACATGTGGGAGCACACAACTCTTTTGCTGGAATAGACATCAGTGAACTGATGACAGCACATAGTAATAAAAGTCACCCATCCTCTGTCTATCAGACAAAGTTCAATTTCACTTAACTTGACAATTCAACATCCTGTGAATTGGCTAAATGAGATGATTGTAGATCAGAACCTGTCCTTCCATTTAAATATTGTGGTGACTTCTCAAAATTACCTCCTCATTTTGATCGACTTTAAAATGATTAATCCAAATCACATTTTATTGCAGGATGAAAAATGTGTTGGGTTTGACAGCCAGCAGAATGTAATATAGTCATTAACTACAGTGTCAGCCAAAATAGCCTAGACAGATGCCCAAGCAGAGCTATTTGTACTGATTGTGTGCTGTTACAGACAAGACTAAACTAAGATAATACAGAAGCTCTAGTAATTAAGTTAAGACCTATATTAAGTGAAACATTAATTACACATGCAATGTTATGTATTTACTGATCTTAAAAGAGTATTTCTGTATTTTAATTTTTCTTATTTTCTTATTCAGAAGTAGATGAGAAGAGGGAGAACAATCCACAAGGTGAGGTAAGTTGAACAACATATTTACAATTTCCTGTGTACATTAATAAAAATAGGTTGATCATATTCCTGTTATTAAGTGACAGCATTGAAATTCTAAGATTCCTGTGGATAAACATTTTTATAGCTATTTTAAGAGCTCCTTCACAGTGTTGTAAACTGTTAAAATCTGCGTACACTCATTTTCGCAATGTGACATCTTATTCTAAAACAATTATTTACCAGCTAAGCAGTAAATGCATAAGATAGAAAAATTACTTGGGGATAAAAAGGGTTTAAAATCAAAAAATATTGTTATGATTAAAATAACAAGCATCTGAAACATGGATCGAGGAATTGGAAAATTGCTGAGAACCAGCATGTGTGATTGGCGAGGCATTGAAAATATTCATGACGGGCCTTTGCTAAACGGGAAAAGATACCTAATTTTAACGTATGTGATGAGCACTCTGCGAACTATTGATTGGCTGCTAGGTAATTTTGTATGTGTGTGGATGGGAAAGGGCCAGAGACGTGATTGCCATTTATGTCAATCAGCACTTCATGGAGCAGAGGTGCAATTAGCCCATTTTGAGATAATTCACTTTCAGGTAAAGGGGGATGTGCCAGTTCAGTAGCCCCCAGTTCTGTGACGCAGTGCAGGAGTTGTCGATGTGGGGGTGATCAGATTGAAGAAGCTACAATTTCATTCCAGTGGGAAAAGAGTGTTTAAGCAATTTGCAGAGTCACAATCAGAGGCGGTGGAGCTGGTGAATGCCAACTGCATTACACCTAAGACCTGATAGCAATATCAAAAGAAATTCAATGGTATCTCCAGTACTGATAAGATTCTTATTCTCATCTCTGATTTGTCACCTTAGCTCACACTATTTGTTGTTTCAATACTCACAACCCTTCCCTTCCCCACCTCCCATCACTTTTTTCTAGCAGCAACACCATTATCTTACATTTAGGCAGTGATTTTAACTTCGTAAAATGTTCCAAGGGGCTTTATAGGAGACTTATCAAATAAAATTTGACATTAAGTTATATAAGGAGAGATTAGAATAGATAACCGAAAACTTCATCAAAGATAGAGGTTTTAAAGACTGAAAGGAAGCGAGAGGTTTAGGGAGGGAATTCCAGAGCATTGGCTCTAGGCAGCTGATACCGGTGGTGGAGTGATTAATGTTGTAGATGCTCAAGAGGCCAGAATTAGATGGGCGCAGATATCTTTGAGTGTTATGGAGCTGATTACAGAGATAGGAAGAGAATGGAGGAAGGTGAAAACTAGGATCATAATTTTAGAATGAAAGCCCTAGTAGAAGAAAATGTAGATTAGTGAGCACAGAAATGAAAGGGGAATGAGACCGTGGGAGTAAGGACACAGATAGCAGTGTTTTGGACGACAAGTTAACAGAACGTAGAGCATAAAAGAACAGTAGGAGTGCTCACTTTATTAATTTCCTTTGGGTGCTGCTGGCAAACTCTAAACCTGATCCTGCCTTTACAATCTTCCTTTCCCACCCAATCTTGGCTCTTAGTTCTTCACTGTTCTGCCATCTTTCCTGCAACATTATTCTGACATGATATTAATACCTTTATAACTTTTTACTAACCCATAAGCTGGTGCACTATATGGAGCAGGAACATACTGGAGACATTTCTTCCAAGTCCTTTCCACATTGGAAAGGACTTGCCTTGGTTATCATAAATAGCACACAATGGAACCAGATGATCTGTTCCATCAAAGGTTTGATCATCTTACCCTCTTCTCAATAAATTCTCTCCCACGTATACCGTGCATGACAATGTCGCCCTGTTTTGTTCTCACATGACTCTCTCTGCTTACCCCTGTGACAAGCTGCTAAATTTTATCCCTCCCTAAAGAGAAATAGTGTCCTCTGTTCAAAGGAAGAAAAAGCCTTTAGAGGATACATATCCCTCAATCTTTCTCTTACAGCCACCAGCTCACAGCCAGGACCCTGTGTGATGTAAACGGTCAGTAGAGGAGTCTGAACTTCAGCACAAGACAGAGAAGTAAGGGTATGGGAATCTGATAGTCCAAGAACCAGATGCTGCAGTGTGACCTTGCACCCCAAATCTGCTTCAGAAGGAATGGGTGATAATTTCCAGGGATAGCTTACAGAAGAGGACTGTATGTGCTTTGGCTGCCTGCCAGCAAACTTTTGCATAATATTAGGGAACATGGAGTAAACATTCTGTCTAGTGAGCGTAGAGGCAACACACCCAGCCATGAGCATGTGGTCAGCTCTATAAAGCATTAGGACCTACAGATTCTATAATTGCACTGGCAGTTTAAATGGATCCTCAGCCGACTGCAGGCTTGGCTCTACTCTAGCTTCCAAAGAAAGATAAAAATTTTGAAAATGGGGCTTCCGAAACATCACCTCAGTCCTGGGCTCTGTACTTGTGGAGAACAGTATGAGTGCTGAGAGGCCATTTAATGACCAGTGGCATAAAGAACATGGGCATGCCATATGCTACCTATGTCAAATGAAAGTTCATTTCCCCAGTGTCCACATTGGTATCAGGTGGCCAGTTGACTCAGGCTGCATTAGTTGTTGTTGAGATCCTATTATCAATAACTGGGCTCTCTATGATGATAACTCCTCAAGACTGCTCACCACAGCTCACACAGACTTAAATCTTTGACCATGCTGTTGCCACCAGAGAAATGTCTCTTAGGTGTGTCAAAATGAATAGTGAAGTGCAAAAGACACGGCCTGATCTTTGCACAAGGTTGATCTTTTAGTTTTTATGAATCATTGCAAACACATTTAAAGTGCTCCAAGATTAACCACCTCACAATTATGCCATATTTCCTTTGTGGCATTTTGAACATCCCATAGCTGGGTATAAAGATTAATTGTGAAGGTTAGAGGAATTATTGGCGAATTAAAAGGAGGGATAGTGGAACAGATCCTTATGAATTAGTTGCTGATGCAGAGCTGATACTGATGCAGCACTGCAAGCCCATGCTCTCCTCATTACCCTTCACCGCCTGGCTCCCTCAACTCCTCAGCCTTCCATATCTTCTTCACAAGTGGCTACAAGGACTGTCTGTTTTGCAGGACAATTTGTGGGGAATGGAGGAAAACCAAGATGATTCTGGAGCTCCCTCAGGTATTCTGGAAGGGGCTTTTGATGACAATATTGCTCAGCCTCTGCATTCAAGTTCTTATGAAGCCACAGGTGTTTATACATCCTTGTCCTGAAGCAGCCAATCGCTGACCCTGATGGGATAGGTAGAAGGAAGAGAAGACTGAAGGTTGGCATTGAATGAAAACTGCCAGGAAATGCACCACATACCTTCGTTTTCTTCATCCATTCATGAGCTGGGGGCATCGCTTGCCAATCGCTAATTATCCCCTGATCTGATCTGTGTCGCTTTCTAGGACTATTGCAGAGAGCAGTTAAGAGTCAACTACATTTCTATGGGTCTGGAGTTGCATGTAGGCCAGACCAGGTTTCTTTCCTTAAAGTGCATTAGTGATCCAAGTGGGACAACGGACAATGGTTACCATTAGGCCACCTTTCTATTCGGATTCCTTTTATTGAATTCAAATTTCACCCATGCCACGCTGGGATGTGAACCTATTTCCCCAAAGCACTGCTCCTATGATGCTGCTTGGCCTGCTGTGTTCATCCAGCCCTGCACCTTGTTGTCTCGGATTCTCCAGCATCTGCAGTTCCTACTATCTCCCCAAAGCATTAGCCTGGGGTCTGAATTACTAGCCCAATGATATTGTGACAACACCATAGCCTCCTCTGCATTATTTATTGCCTGTAGTCACACACCAGCTGCTCTTTTTGTCCAAGAATATTCTGGGTTCTTTGTACAGAGATTGAGAACAATGTGTTTGTATTCAATTATTCCCCAGACTTTTGGGAAGCGCTCACTCTTCGGGAGTCTCAGAGCTTTCTTTGTGGTTTGGTTGCTTTCATGGGGAAGCTGACAGAATTATTCCTCTTGTTGAAGAGTATATCTGCTGCATGCTGAATAATGTAAATTCACCGACGTTGGAAGTGTTTTCTGATGCAGCACACAATGACTCTTGATCCATTTAAATCTCAATAGCGAGAGGCAGTGCTGCGTGTGCCCAACTGAGAGCATTTGCTGCTAAAGGTTAAATGCTCTACTTGTGGAAGTGAAGGCTCCGGGAACATTGTTCCACACTTCAGCTAAAGCAATAGATCATATGTGGAAGAATTGAGTGCTGTGAGGGTTCCTGTGCTCAGTTTTTTTAATGTGCATCAGCAGTTGTCATTTTTCACCGTCATGTTCACTGCATCTCCTCTTCCTTTATCTGTAAGTGAGGATGCAGCAAAATATCCATTTTAAAAGCAACAAATATGGCTGGAGATCTTGTACAAAGTACTAAAGCTGTTAAAGTCTTTTTGCCTCATCAATATTCAGTGTTAGAAGCCAAAACATCTGCTGCAAGCATACTAACAGCTTAAGACTATCAAACAGAGACTTAACTGCATACTGCCGAGGATCCCTTTAAAAACAGTGGGGTGCAGTCAGTTTGCTGATTGATTGGCAAAAGAATCACTGGGCTGGGCTAGGAAGCTGAAAAAAACCCAGTGTTCCCACTTCCAGTTTGTGAAAGGTGAAGGACCTTTATTTATATATTCCACTTGGTTCATTGCTTTGTTCAGGAAGTTGTCCAGCATAGGTTAAGGCAAACTGAATCAACATGGTGAATGCTAAACTGCGGAGAACTCTATTGGGTGCAGAATACTGCTGGCCCCAAATTAGACCCCACTGCTTTTACACGGCCCGATCCAGTTTGATTCTTGATCTCTTCCAGTATCACTTTCCCTCACTCCCCATCCCACTCCCATCACAACGTGTTCAAGTTTATACTTAAAAATAAAATATTATGTAATACCATCTTGCAGTCCACCATGTAACAGTAGCTAAAATATTGATTCCTATGGATCAGAATTGTGCTGAGCCCTATTAATTCTGGAAACAGTGAAAATGTGAGAGCAGGATTCTAATTTATTCATATTCTTGAAACACTAATATGATTTCTAGGAAGTGTTTGTGCACTAAATTTACTTATAAAAGGATTTCAAACTGAAAAAAAATTTTCACCGTGGAGAATGTGAAGATGGCTCAGATTACTGCGATAAAAGTATGATCACAAATAACAGGATGTTTTTAATAGAACTACGGAGGTAGAATATTTCTTGCTTCTCACAGATTCATGGAGATGTACAGCATGGAAACAGACCCTTTGGTCCAACTTGTCCAGGCTGACCAGATATTCTAAATTAATCTAGTCCCATTTGCCAGCATTTGGCCCATATCCTTTAAACTCTTCCTATTCGTATATCCATCCAGATGCCTTTTAAAATGTTGTAGTTGTACCAGCCTCCACCACTTCCTCTGGCAGCTCATTCCATACACGCACCACCCTCTGTGTGAAAATGTTGCCCCTTAGGCCCCTTTTATATCCTTCCCCTCTCACTTTAAACCAATGCCCTCTATTTTTGGGCTCCCCCACCCTGGGGAAAAGGCCTTGGCTAGTCACCCTATTCATGCCCCTCATGATTTTATAAACTTCTGTAAGGTCACCCCTCAGCTTCTGACGCTCCAGAGAAAATAGTCCTGGCCTATTCAGCCTCTCCCTACAACCCAGACCGTCCAACCTTGGCAACATCCTTGTAAATCTTTTCTGAACGAAATACAAGTTTTACAACATCCTTCCAATAGCAGGGAGGCCAGAACTGAATGCACTACTCTAAAAGCGGCCTAACCAATGTCCTACACCGCCGCAACATAACCTCCCAACTCCTTATACTCAATGCACTACCCAATAAAGGCAAGCATACCAAATACCTTCTTCACTATCCTAGCTACCTGAAACTCCACTTTCACTGAACTATGAACCTGCACTCCAAGGTCTCTTTGCTCGGCAACACTCACCAGGACCTTATCATTAAGTGTATAAAGCCTGCCTGATTTGCCTTTCCAAAATGTAGCACCTCACATTTATCTAAATTAAACTCCATCTCCCACTCCTTGGTCCACCAGCCCATCTGATCAAGGTCCTGTTGTACCCTGAGATAACCTTCTTCGCTGTCCACCACCCATTTTAGTGCCATCTGCAAAGTTACTAACCATACCTGGAGATAGCAAGAACTGCAGATGCTGGAAGTCAGAGTTGATAAAGTGTGGAGCTGGCAGAGCACAGCAGTTCAGACAGCATCTGATAAGCAGGAAAGTCGCCGTTTTGGGTCAGGACTGGTGAAGGGGGAAGGCAGCTCAGAAATAAATAGAGCGAGGTGCTGGGGCTGGGCGAAGGTGGGTAGGATGGTGACAGGTGGATGCAAATGAGGGGTTGTAAAGATTGGTCTGCGGGAAGGGTGGAGCAGATAGGTGAGAAAGAAGATGGTCAGGTTGTGTCAGGTCAAGGAGGTGAGGATGTGGCTGGGGGTGGGGAAATTTTGAAGCTGGTGAACTCTACATTGAGGCCATTGAGCTGTAAGGTCCTGAGGCGGAATATAAAGTATTGTTCCTCCAGTTTACGTGTGGCCCCATTGTGACAGTGGAGGAGTCCCAGGATGGACATGTCACTAAGGGAGTGGGAGGGGGAGTTGAAATGGCTGGAAACTGGAAGGTGCTATTGATTGGAGCATACAGAGTGCAGATGTTCCACAAATTGGTCATCAAGTCTGTGCTTGGTCTGTCTGATATAGAGGAGACCACATCAGCAGCAACGAATGCAATAGTGCATTACTAACCATACCTCATATTCATATCCAAATCATTGATATAAATGGTGAAAAGCAATGAACCCAGCATCAATTTCTGTGGCACACCACTGGTCACAGGTCTCTAGTCAGAAAAGCAACCTTCCACCACCAACAACTTTTTTTCTATCTTCAAGCCAGTCCTATATCCAAATAGTTAATTCTCCCTGTATTCCATGTGATCTAACTTGCTAACCAAACTACCATGCGAAACCTTGTTGAATGCCTTATTGGAGTCCATATAGATCATATTCACTGTTCTGCCTTCATCAATCTTCTTTGTTACTTCATCAAAAAAATTCAATCAAGTTCATGAGACATGATTTCCCACGGACAAAGCCATGTTGACTATCCCTAATCAGTCTTTACCTTTACAAATACATATAAATCCTGACCCTCAGGATCCCTTCCAACAACTTGCCCACCACTGATATCATGCTCACTGGTCTATAGATCTTTGGCTTTTCCTTACCACCTTTCTTAAACAGTGGCACCATGTTAGCTAACCTTCAGTCTTCCGGCACCTCACCTGTGACTATTGCTTATTCACTATCTCAGCAAGGGGCCCAGCAATCACTTCCCTAGCTTCCCGCAATGTTCTCTTGATCGAGTATTGGGGCTTTATTCACCTTTATGTGTTTGAAGACGTCGAGCACCTCCTCCTGTGTAATATGGACATTTTTCAAGATGTCACTATTTATTTCCCCATGTTCCCTAGCTTCCACATCCTTTTCCAAAGTAAATACTGATGCAAAATACTCATTTACTTTCTCCCCCATCTCCTGCGGTTCCACACATAGGCAGCCTTGCTGATCTTTAAGGAGCATTATTCTCTCTCTAGTTACCCTTTTGTCTTTAATGTATTTGTAGAATACTATTTGTAGAATTTATTTGCCAAAGCTATCTCATGTCTGCTTATTACCCTCCTGATTTCTCTCTTAAGAATACTTCTACTGCCTCTTTATACTCTTCTAGGCATTCACTTGATCCCTGCTGTTCGTACCTGACACATGTTTCCTTCTTTTTCTGAACCAAAACCTCAATTTCTCTAGTCATCCAGCATTCCCTCCACCTACCAGCCTTGCTGTTCACCGTAACAGGAACATATTGTCTCTGGACTCTCGTTATCTCATTTTTGAAGGCTTCCCACTTCCCAGCCGTCCCTTTACCTGAGAATATCCGCCTCCAATCAGCTTTTGAAAGTTCTTCCCTAATACCATCGAAATTAGCCTTCCTCCAATTTAGAACTTTAACTTTAAATCCAGTCTATCCTTTTCCATCACTATTTTGAAACTAATAGAATTATGATCATTGGCCCCAAAGTGCTCCCCCACTGACACCTCAGTCACCTGCCCTGCCTTATTTTCCAAGAGTAGGTCAAGTTTTGCTCCTTCTCTAATAGGTGTATCCACATTCTGAATCAGAAAATTTTCCTGTACACACTTAACAAATTCCTCTCCATCCAAGCCCTTAACACTATGGTAGTCCCAGTTTATGTTTGGAAAGTTAAAATCCCCTACCATAACCACCCTATTATTCTTACAGATAACTGAGATCTCCTTACAAATTTGTTTCTCAATTTCCTGCTGTCTATTACAGGATCTATAGTACAATCCCAACAAGGTGATCATCCCTTTCTTATTTCTCAGTTCCACCCAAATAACTTCACTGGATATTCTCCAAGGACTACCTTTCCTAAATCCAAACGTAATGTTATCACTAATCAAAAATACCACTCCCCCTCCTCTCTTGCCCGCCCACTTTCTATCCTTTCTTTAGCATCTATACCCTGGAATATTAAGCTGCCAGTCCTGTCCATCCCTGAGCCATGACTCTGTAATCACTATGATATCCCAATCCTATGTTCCCAACCATGCCCTGAGTTCATCTGCCTTACCTGTTAGGCCTCTCGCATTGAAGTAAATGCGGTTTATTTTATCAGTCTTACCTCATTCTCTGCTTAGTTCCTGCCTGCTCTGGCTATTTGACTTGCTCCTTTTCCCAACTGCATCAATCTCAGACTGATCTCATTTCTCTCTGGGTCCCAGAACAACCCCAGCCCCTCACTTGTTTAAATCCGCCCGAGCAGCTTTAGCAAATTTTCCTGCCAGTATATTAGTCCTCTTCCAATTCAGGTCCTTCTTATACAGGTTACATCTACCCCAGAAGAGATTCCAATGATACAAAAATATGAATCCTTCTCCCCTACACCAGCTCCTCAGCCAAGCATTCATCTGCTCCATCCTCCTATTCCTGCCCTCAATAGCTTGTAGCATCGCATGCTCCTGTTAATAATAAAAATGGTTTGTCAAAGTAAGCATACATTTCTGCTATTTTGACTAGTTCATAATTTTTAGAAAGGTTTATCACTAATATATTCTGAGTCTTTCAGTATACTCCTCAGGATTGATTGGTAAGTCTGTACAATCCCACGGACTGAATAACATTGATGTGTTTTTTTTAATTTCCAGAATGCCGAGATGTCACCTCAACAAAGAAAGAAGAGTGTATATACACCTCCAACTATGAAAGGTACTGTTCAGGTACTGTTCCAAATTCTGCTTGTGCATGTGTACTGCCCATTAGCTAAAGCTGATTGGAGCTCTTCTGCCCTAGCTTACATCAGCAAGTCCTTCCATTGTGAACTGGGTTGAACTAGTTCTCATCCAAAAAAAGCAGTGAACAAATTAAAAGATTTGCAATGAATTAGTAATAGGTGATTCATCAACCTATTGGCTTTACATATGCAGTAAATTAACTTAATGGTGATTTTGCCATCATTATTTTGTCACTTTCACCCAGAATCAGAAGGGGATCTAATTTAATTGTAATTATTTCTGACCGAGTGAAAATCGTTATTTTACTTATTTATTACGGATAGCAGGACAAAGGTCACGAGTGCGAGAGTCGATTCCGTTTCTCCATATTTAGGGCCTTATGAATATAGAATGGGAAGGTTAAATTAGAATGGAAATTGAAGATTTCTTCTGCCGTTGACACCATCACTTAAAGTGCATTTTTTTTTCTGACCCAGCAGCTATGTTTCCCTGCAGTGGATACATGTTCACAAGGGTGGCCAGCAGGAAGTTATTTTTCACTCATTTTGAACAATCTATTCGCAGTAAGGGATTTGAAACTTGACATTAAGGAGAAAAGAAAGCTCTTCTTTGAGAGGTGTTGGCTAAGGTTGCCACATTTGGATGTTAAAATCAAAATTATTTACGACACTTTCATGAAAATCAATGATTTTGTAAATGGGTGTTTTTACCAATGTAGAACAAATTTGATTACTTCACAGTCACTGCCATTCCAAATGACAATACTTGTTGCCACATCAATAAGTATCATAAAGCAAACAGTCAGTTTAGTGCATGACTTTTAATCAAACATAACTTAAGAAACTAACTATTTAAACGTTTAATTACCAGTGCACACACAGACACAGAGATAGACGCACACACACCTGCACTTGCGCGCAGGCACACACACGCATGCACACAAAATATATATACGTGGGTGTGCGCACACATACACACACCCATTCCTCTCTGCTGCTCCTCTTCATTGCTCTCCTAATAGCTGTCCTAGGAGATCACTGTTGCATCTAGTACAAAAAGACCCAGCTTCAATGATGCAAAAATATAGAACTGTAAACACCATTACAGTTTTCAAAAATTGCTCAGTATCACTACTGCCCAGAAGTTCTGGGTGAGTGTTTTTTAAAGAATTCGCTGACAAGGAACTAGAGTGGCTGTGAAGGCAACATTTTAGTAACATGTGCATTTTAAACATAAAAAAAAACCTGCCACACACTTACAAAGTTCACATGAATGTTCTTCATGTGTATACTGTTACCACCAGACCTCGGATCAGGTTCCCCAATTCATTCTGGTTGCAGATGGAGTAGCCCAAGCAGTTAGGTTGCTGGCAGAGCAGGGTGAACTGGCTCCCCTGCTTTATTCAAGCACACCCTCAATTGGTTGTAACAATGTTCTCTTGTGGTCACCTTCCTCCTGGATCCAAATGAAGATTATAGTTTAAATGAGTCAATTTAAACAGGCGTTCCTGAATTAACAAATGAATGAATTGATTAATTACTGCACGCAAGAAGAAACCTCTGCCTTTGCAACTCCAGGGGTCATACCAGTGTCAAGCGATGCTAGTTGAACTTTGAAAGACCCCTGCCACTTTTCAAAGGCTAAATTTTGAAAGGTGCCAACTTAACCGGGAATTTTCAAATTAATAAAAAAAGTGGGCATTAATCAATTACCACACAAGAGAAGAAATACTAACACGAAGAAGTGCACCCATTCATTCTCTGAGCCTTGGTCAACATCATATTTTCACTTCTAACTGGTCTCTTACATTTCTGGACAGGGCATCTGCAATCACATTTGATTTGCCAGCAACGTTGGTGATATATAAGTGGTATGGTTAAAGTACCAAGCACCAACAGAATGACTGAATCATTAACATTTCCATAAAAGTTAACAAGTTATGGTCTCTGCACCCATTTTGAACATATATTTCAAAGTATTTGAGAGACAGTAATAAATCAGGGTTTTCCTTCTCCAATTTAGATATTGCTTCAGATATGTTTGTTTAGTTTTTCAAACAAGTGTTGACTGTAATGTAAAAACTTCTTTCAAATGTTTAATTTAATAGATTAAGTATATAACAAGCAATCATTTAAATTCTGAATAAATTTATCCAAATTTTTATTGCAGTAGGGTTTTAATACAGACTTTCCCAGGATATTCCAAGAACTGAGCCTAGTTAATATCAAATCAAACAGGCCATCAATGAGTTTCATGAGTGAAATTATGTATGAAGTAAAAGGACTCTTGCCAAATGGATGTTGTACCAATGAAGCTGGTCCAATGAGACTTTTCTTTTGGCTGAACATCCTAGTCTAAATTTTATGTTTGAAGTGGGAATTGGGAGTTGGGAAATTTCTTAGCATCTCAGACCTACCTCCTACCCAGAAGTGCCAATTAACAGAACGTCTATCTGGTGCAGATAGCAATGCCTTCACATTGCATGCCATGGCCAAGTTAAAGGACTTGCCACCTTTTGCAGAGAAATCAGTTCAGTTCTGCAAATCAGTGTCACTCATCCCAACCCTTATATCCTACTCCACTTAACCACTTTAATCTTACTTCAACCCCTGTAACCTCCCTCGCATGATAATCGCTTCAAATACCCCTCACAAAGAATCACAGAATTGTTACATAATATAAGGAGGCCATTCGGCCCATCATGCCTGTGTTGGTTCTATCACCTAGAGAATACCTCCTTCCTTTCCTCCATATCCATGCATTCCATTTCTATCTGAATAATCATCCAATTTCTTCTTGAATGCCTGTATTGCACCTACCTTCACCACATGTCTAGGGAGTGCATGCCATTTCCTAACTATTCACTGTGTGAAAAGGTTTTCCCTCACATCATTCTTATTTTATTTGAGTATCACTAAACATCTATGCCCTTTTGTTCATTTCTTTACAAGCAGAAACAGTTTCTCCCTATCTGCTCTATCTAGCCCACTTATGATTTTGAAAACCTCTATCACATCCCCTCTCAGCCTTCTTCTCTCCAAACAGAACAATTCCAACTTCTTCAGTCTATTTTCATAATTAAGGTTTTTCAGTCCTGAAACCACTAACAATCTCCTCACCCAGTCATCAGTATAAATATGAACGCTATTAAAACACTTGAAAACATTTGGAAAGTTTATGCATTAACATTATTTGAAAATCCACTGAAAACCGTTGCCCAATTCAGAAGCTCACAAAACTGTCAAAATATCAAGTTTACATTTCCCAGTATAGCTGTATAAAAACATTCCTCTTGAGCAGCTTTCAATAGAGGCTTTGTAGACAGCCAAAAGCTCTCAAATTTATCAAAACTTTAAAATAGCCAAACTGATAGTATCAGTAAAAGAAAAACCATGAAAGTCATGTGGGCCTTTTACACAATAAACTCTGAAATTTCAAACTGGTCTAGCTTTTCAAAATTTTATAGCTTGTAAAGCACTTTATCCTGCAGATAGCCTACTCTAAAGCATTTGAAGACTTTTTGACTTTCACAATGCTAGCCTTTCTGTTGACAGCTTGTTATTTGTCAAAAGTAACAACTTTTCAACTGTATTTATAATGGTCACTTACCTTTTCAAATAAAGTATCATTGAATTTTTTTAAATTCACTGATAGGATGTGAACAACAATGGCTAGGCCAGCATTTATTGCCCAATTTGAGTTGCCTTGGGAAGTAGTGGAGAGTGGCCATCTTATACTGTTACAACCTTTGGGGTGTAGAGATTCACAATGCTGTTAGGAAAGGAACTCCTGGATTTTGACCAGGGAAAGGAAGGCAATATAATTCCAAGTCAGGATGATGTGTGTTATGGAAGGAACCTTGCAGGTATTAGCACTCCCATGAATCTTTTGCCCTTTTTCTTTTAGGTGGTAGAGGTCATATGTTTGTTGAAAGAGGCTTGGTGAGTTAATGTAGCGTATCTTGTAGATTGTATATGATGCAACTCTTGTACATTTGTGATGAAGAAGGTGAATATTGAAAGTGGTAGATATAGTGCCAATCAAGTGGGCTGCTTTGTCCTTGTAGATGTCAAGCTTCTCAAACTTCTTAAATGGATCTGCATTCATCCAGGCAACTGGGGAGTGTTACTTAACAGTCCTGACTTTTGACTTCTAGCTGATGGACAAGCACTGGGGGAGTCAGAAGGAGGTTCCTCATCTAGAATTCCTAGCCTTTGATCTAGTCTTTCAGCCCAGTGTTCGTAGGATTAGTCCAGTTCAGTTTCTGGTCAGAAGTAACCCTAGTATATTATAATAGGAGATTCGGTATTTGTGATGCTATTGATGCCAAAAAGCAATTAGATTCTCTCTTGTTGGAGATGGTATTGCCTGGTGCTTGCATGGCATGAACGTTATATGCCAATTATTAATCCAAATGTGGATGTTGTCCAGGTCTTGATGCTTATGGATACTGACTGCTTCTGCATGTAAGAAGTCGCAAATGATGCTGAATATGGTGTAATCATCAGTGAACATCCCTCACTTCTGACATTAAAAGGAGGGAAGGTCATTGATGAGCAGCTGATTTTGGGTTTGGCATAGGACACAATCCTGAGGAACTCCTGCAGAGATGTCCTGGAGCTGAGATGATTGACTTCTAACAACCACAACCAAATTTCCTTTGTGCTAGGTATTTCTCCAAGCAGTGTGAGTTTTCCAGATTCCCATTGACTTCAGTTTTGCTCGGACTCTTTGATGCCGTACTCAGTCAAACACTATCTTGATATCACTCACTGCAGTAAAAACAGATACAGGTTAGGCTATTGCATGTTATAATGACACTTGAAATAGATAGCACCTTTTGTAATGATTTTTCACACAGTTCCTAGATGGTTCATCTGAAATTCACAAGACCTCTCTGCCGAAGTGATTTTCATTGTCTACTGAAACTTGCTTACCCCATTAAAATTGCAGAAGTTCTGAAACGCACAGTGT